ACACCGAGATCTCTCTGCTCATCCACACTACCAAGAATCTTACCATTAGCCCAGTACTCTGTATTCCTGTTACTCCTTCCAAAGTGAATCACCTCACACTTTTCCGCATTAAACTCCATTTGCCACCTCTCAGCCCAGCTCTGCAGCTTATTTACGTCCCTCTGTAACCTGCAACATCCTTCCGCACTATCCACAACTCCACCGACTTTGGTGTCATCCACAAATTTACTAACCCATCCTTCTACGCCCTCATCCAGGTCATTTATGAAAATGACAAACAACAGTGGCCCCAAAACAGATCCTTGAGGTACACCACTAGTAACTGAACTCCAGGATGAACACTTCCCATCAACCACCACCCTCTGTCTTCTTACAGCTAGCCAATTTCTGATCCAAACCGCTAAATCACCCTCAATCCCATGCCTCCGTATTTTCTGCGATAGCCTACCATGGGGAACCTTATCAAACGCTTTACTGAAATCCATATACACCACATCAACCGCTTCACCCTCATCCACCTGTTTGGTCACCTTCTCAAAGAACTCAATAAGGTTTGTGAGGCACGACCTACCCTTCACAAAACCTAGGACTTGGCTGGAGGGTTGGAGCACTGCAGCCTTACCATCATGTACATGTTAGAAGAACCCAAACTAAAACAATTACTACCAATAAGACCAAAAAATGTAGGAGCAGAATTAGGCCATTTGGCCCATCAAGTCTGCTCCATCATTCGATCATGACTGACATGTTTCTCAACCCATTCTCCTGCCTTCGCCCATAACCCTTGATCCCCTAACTAATCAAGAATCTCTGTCTTAAATACACTCAATGACTTGGCCTCCACAGCCTTCTGTGGCAATGAGTTCCACAGATTCAATACTCTATGGCAGAAGAAATTCCTCTTCATCTCAGTACTAAAGGATCACCTCTTCACTCTGAGGCTGTGTCTTCGGGTTCTACTAATAGAAATGACTTCTCTACACTTACTCTATCCAGGCCTCTCAGAATTCTCCAGGTTTTAATGAGATCCCCCGCTCATCCTTCTAAACTCCATTGAATACCTATAGTCCTCAACTGTTTCTCACATGACAAGCCCTAGGATCATTTTTATAAACCTCCTTTGGACCCCCTCCAACTCCAGCACATCCCTATTTTGATACAAAGCCCAAAACTGCTCACAGTATTCTAAATGCGGTCTGACCAGAGTCTTACACAGCCTCAGCAATACATCTCTGCTCTTATATTCTAGCCTTCTTGAAATGACTACTAACATTGCCTTTGCCTTCCTGGATCCCAATGGCAAACATTTGAGGGGTCACTACAGAGTCAATCAGAACCTCTAGCCTGATGTCAACAATGATGCAAGTCTTCTTTACGACAAAATCACTTCATGATGTTGGTAGTTAAAACCTAAGTCACAGCCTATTACAATTTTGGCATGAATTATTCCATCTTTCAAAATCATATTTGCACACAATGGCCATATTAGCCCCTGGTCTGACAGCATCTCAAATGTAATATTCCCTTTGCTAAAATTCCTCCAGAGCCTTACTTCTCCTCATAACTTCCTTCAGCCCAACAACTCCAAGTTGTCCATGTCCCTGACTTCCTTTGCCCCAAAAATACTGTCACGCCATCAGGTGCCTCAGCCCTAAGCTCTACAATTCCTTTCTTAAACATCTCTGCCTCTCTCTATCCATTCAAAGGTGTGCCTAAACCTTCCCTTTGATCAACTTTTTTTATTCTGCCTTCGAATCTCCTATTGCTAAGAGTCAAATGTTGAGAGAAAATCCTCCTGAACATGTTAGTAGTGCAAATCAGGGCAGGACTTATACAATTAATGGTAAGGTCATGGGGAGTGCTTCCAAACAAAGATCTTGGAGTGCAGGTTCATAGTTCCTTGAAAGTGGAGTCGCAGGTAGACAGTGTAGTGATGGCGGCGTCTGGTACGTCTGCATTTATTGGTCAATGCACTGAGTATAGGAGTTGGGAGGTCATGTCCTGTACAGCTGCAACATTGGTTAGGCCACTTTTGGAATACTGCATTTAATTTTGGTCTGCTTGCTACAGGGAAGATGTTGTGAAACTTGAAAGGGTTCAGAAAAGATCTACAAGGCTGTTGCCAGGGTTGGAGTGTTTCAGGGAGAGGCTGAATAGACTGGGGCTATTTTCCCTGGAGCGTTGGAGGCTGAGAGGTAACCTTACAGAGGTTTATAAAATCATGAGGGGCATGGATAGGGTGAACAGTCAAGGTCCTTTCCCCAGGTTAGGGGAGTCCAAAACTAGAGGGCATAGGTTTAAGGTGAAAGGAGAAAGATTTAAAATGGACCCAAGGGGCACTTTTCATGCAGAGGGTGGTGCGTGTATGGAACGAACTGCCAGAGGTGGTGGTGGAGGCTGATATAATTACAACATTTAAAAGGCATATGGATGGGTATCTGAATAGGAAGTGTTTAAGACAGATATGGGCCAAATGCTGGCAAATGGGACTAGATTAATTTAGGATATCTAGTCAGCATGGATAAGTTGGACTGGTGTCCGTTTCCATGCTGTACATCTCTACGACTCTAAGTACCTAAGGATGTTTCACTATCTGATGAGTTTTGTTCTTGTTCCAAAAGATGAGAACCGTCAGTGATGACAACACCCGAAGTAAACTTTAAGAGTGCTTTGTTCACCTCCAACCAAGGTTTACAGGGAAGCTACCTCAATATCAGAATAAGAGCTTTAGGGAAACAGCTTAGGCTCAGCTGCCAAATCAAACTCCATTCCCAACTCTAATCTCAAATATCCAATTTGAAACCACCCATCATTAATATTCTGACCATTTTACATGCCTTTCACTGGTCAACATATCATATAGCACAGTCTGATAACATCCTTCCTTTCTCCTTGCACCAGAGCGTTATCCTCCAGTTGTTCTATCTTCTCATTTAATTCACACTTCTCATTCAATATTTCAACTTCCTACTGTGCCAAGAATAACACCAGAAGCCAATTCAAAATTATCAGTCAAGCTAGCAGTGTGATGCAGTTGTTCATGCTCAACACAGGATGAGTTTTATGTAGGTAGAAGGAATTTGTACATATATTTGGTCTTTTTCATGGAAAAAGAGGTCACAGAGACTGCAATATTTGCTGCATTCCCATGGCAACACTCTGACCACTAAGAATGAAGACTGACAGTTAATTGCACACAATACATCTCCATGCCAGTCACAGCCCCACCAATCAACACTGTCTTCTCATGCTGAAGCAATTGACCCTTTTACCAAGTCTGTTTCTTGCAGCCTAGTCCTGATCAGTGCAAGATGAAAAGCTTCAACTTCTTGACTCCTTTCAAAAACATTTACTTCTGCCATCTTAGCATTCCTACTACTACTTTACTTCCCAATCACTGTACCTCTTCCTTTCATCTTGCCCTAATGAATGCAATATAAGCAATACATCAATGAACTGAGCACACATGCTTAGTGCTCTCTGCAATGTCCAATGTTTCTACTAAGTGTTACTCTAAACAATCACAAATGCCCTGTCAGACCTAGACCTAGTGGTATTATCGCTGGACTGTTAATCCAGAGATCTGGATAACATTCTGGGGACCTCAGTACGAAACCCGCCATAGCAGATGGTGAAATTTGAATTCAATAAAAAAAAATCTGGAATTAAGAATCTAATGACCATGAATCCATTGCCGATTGTTGGGAACCCATCTGGTTCACTAATGTCCTTTAGAGAAGGATACTACCATACTTACCTTGTCTGGTCTACATGTGACTCCAGACCCACACCAGTATGGCTGACTCTGAACTGCCCTCTGGGCAATTAGGGATGGACAATAAATGCTGCCTAGCCAGTGACGTCCTCCTCCCATTAATGAATTAAAAAACCCTTCAATTACAGACTACAGTAAACCTAACACAATGATAATGGGGGACTTTAATTATCCTAACATTTACAGGAATAGCAATAACATAAAGAGCAGAAAATGTGTTCAGGAAAATTTTTTTGATCAGTATATTTCTTGTGCAAGGAAAGATCGTCAGGATCCAGTGTCAGAATGGGAGCTTTTAGGAATAGTATTCATAGTACTAAATGCTTGGCCATAGAAAAGAACAAGCTGCAATTTATGGTAAAAGAGAGAAGTTAACTGGAGGATCAGTGCAGTGATTTGGCCCAGTTAAATTGGAATTAAGATTGTCTATCAAAAGGCAACAAAAACAATTGCCTGCCTTTAAAGTGGACACTAAGGAACGTACTTCAACTCAAACAAAAGAGAAAGGCATAGCTACCAAAACCAGAGCACTTTGGATGACGACAGAGATAGGTGGACTGACACAGATTAAAAAAATGGGGAAGTATGATAGGTGTAAAGGAATGTGAAATGCTACATTTTGATAGGGACAGCATAAAGGGGTTGCTGCAAAACAAGTGGCCTGGGGCATATATGCACGAATTGTTGAAGGTAGGATTGGTTAACAAAGTGGTTTAAAACCCATATGGGATCTTGGGCTTTATAAATAGGTGCAAAAAACACAAAAGTTAGGAAGTTATGATAAATTTTTAGAGACCACTGATTGTCTCACTACTGGACGAGTTTGTCCTAATTTTTAGGAAGATATAAAGGCTTTAGATAGGGTGCAGAAAAGATTTAAAATTGGCTTCAGGCATGAAAGACGTCAGTTACATGGATAGTTTACAGAAGCTGGGCCTTTTAACATTTGAAACAAGATGGTTCAGAGATTTAATAGAGGTATACAAAATCGTGCGGGATTAAGATAGAGCAAATAGAGAAAATCTGGTCACATTAGCTGAAGGCTCGAGAACCAGAAGATACAGATTTAAGGTGAATAACAAGAGAAAAGGTGAGTGACATGAGGAAAATCTTTTTTTGAAGCAATGTTAGAATCTGGAATACACAGGCCAAGAGTGTAGTGAAAGCAGCTTCAATTATGGCTTTCAAAAGGGAATTAGATCAATAGCTTACGAGAAAATGTTGCCCAAAAAAAAAAAAAAGGCAGCAGAATGGGGTAAGCTAAATGGCTCTTACTTAAAACGGTCTCAGGCTGAATGGACCGAATGGCCACATGACAATATCTACGCACCTGGTCACATTGCTGGTGCGGTTGTTTTGAAGATTCACAGTGGTCTGACCAACCTCAACTCCTCTGACTGGTAAAACTGTCGAATTCGCTGAGTGAGCAGGTAATATAATCTGTTAGAAGAAAATATGTGAAATTAATATTTCTAATGTGCAAGGCAACATGGAAGGGGATCAATTAGAAGAATGTGTGGGCACAAGGTACTGTTGATTAGAAAATAATAAAGGGAGAATGTACTGTAAAAAAAACAAATGGACGCGTTAGTAAAATGAACCCTTTGGTACCTAGGGTACCTAAAGCCAAGTGACAAGGCAAGAAGATCAGGGATGCTGCTCACCTGTTTCAATATTGTAGATAATCGTCAAGGAATAAGAAATAATTTTACATAAACTTTCCAAACGAACAGTGATTAAGACAGAAATTGCCAGAGAAACTCAGCAGATCTGGTAGCATCTGAGGAGAGAAAGCAGAGACAATAATTTGGGGAGACAGTTGGGGTGAACAACAGTTATGCAGACAAAGGAATGGATAGAATGAAAAGCTGCTAATGGGGACTATTACTGGCCCCGTAAAGACTCCTATAAAGACACCATTCCATTCTCCAAGTTCCTATCACATCTGTTCTGATTCTACCTTCCACAGGGGAGCCTCAGGAATGTCCATTTTTTTCCTCCACAGAGGATTCCCCACCACCCTGGTTGACGGTACTTTCAGCTGTGTTGACCCATCTCCTACACTTATGCCCTCAGCCCTCTCTTCTCTCTCACAATACCGATAGTCTCTTCCCTGGTTCTCACTTTCCTCTCACTAACATCCACATTGAAAGGATTATATGAACGCAATTCCATCACCTCCAGCAGGACACCACCACCAGATATATTCCTCTTCCATGCCTGGTCAGTTTTCCGCAGAGACTGTTGCCTCCATAACACTCTAGTTTACTCCTGTTCCATTCCCAACACCACCCCAGACCCCCAAAGCATCTTCCCATGCAAGTGCAAAAGTTGCAACACCTGCCCATTTACTTCCTCCCTCCTCATTATCCAAGGCCCCAGACACACTTTACAGGTGAAGCAGCAATTTACCAGCACATCACTCAATCTAGTTTACCGTATCACCGCTCACAACGTGGCCTCCTCAACAATGGGCAGACAAAATAATAGGCAAGGTAGATGAATTTAGAGCTTTGTTTAGTACTTGGAACTATGACATTATTGCAACTACAGAGTCTTGGCTGAAAGACGGACAGGATTGGCAGCTGAATATCCCTGGATTTGGACATTTCAGGAATGATAGAAAGGGATGTAAAAGAGGTGGGGGAGTTGCATTCCTGCTAAAGGAATATCTCACAGCGGTACTGAGGGAAGATACATCAGAGGACTCGTGCAGTGAGGCAATATGGGTAAAACTCAGGAATAGAAAAGGTGAAGTCACATTGCTGGAGGTATACTACAGACCTCCCAACAGCCAGCAGGAGATATAGGAGAGAATATGCTGACAGATTCTAGAAAGATGTAAAAACAGCAGGGTTGTTTTATAGTGGGTGATTTTAAATTCCTCTATATTGACTGGGACTCAGTTTGGGCTAGGGGCTTGGATGGGCAGAATTTGTAAGAACCATTTCAGAGGGTTTCTTGACACAGTATATAAACAGTCCAACCCGGGAAGGGGTTATACTGGACCTGGTTTTGGGAAATTAGCCTGGCCAGGTGAGTGAAGTTTCAGTGGGGAAGCATTTCAGGAGTAGTGACCATGTCTCAGTGGTTAACACTGTTGCCTTACAGCACCAGGGACCTGGGTTCGATTCCAGCCTCAGGCGACTGCCTGTGTGGAGTCTGCACATTCTCCCCGTGTCTGCGTGGGTTTCCTCTGGGTGCTCCGGTTTCCTCCCACAGTCCAAAGATGTACAGGATAGGTGGATTGGCCTTGCTAAATTGCACGTAGTGTTCAAGGATGTATAAATTAGGTGGTTTATAGGGGGTGGGTCTGGGTGGGGTGCTCCAAGGGTCGGTGTGGACGTGTTGGGCCGAAGGGCCTGTTTCCACACTGTAGGGATTCTATGATCTATAATGCTGTTAAGTTTTAAGATACTCATGGATAAGGATAACAGCAGTCCTCAGGTGAAAGTGTTAAACTGGGGGAAGGTGAACTACAACATTATTAGGCAGGAACTGGAGAATTTTGATTGGAGGTTGCTGTTTGAGGGTAAATCCACCATCGGACATATGGGAATACTTCAAATGGCAATTGATAAGAGTTCAGGAGCGGCATGTTCCTGTGAGACTGAAGGACAGGTATGGCAAGTTACGTGAACCTTGGATGACCAGGGATGTTATGGTCTTGGTCAAAAAGAAAAAAGAAGCATATGTAAGGTCTAGGAGGATGGGAATTGAAGAAACCCTTGAAGTATATGAGGAAAGTAGGAAAGAACTTAAAACAAGGAATTAGAAGGGCTAAAAAAGTGGTTATGAAAAGTCATTAGCAAACAGGATTAAGGAGAATCCCAAGGCTTTTTATACATATATAAAAAGTAAGAGGATAGTCAGGGAAAGAATTGCCCCACACCAGAACAAAGGAGGGAATCTACGTGTGGAGCCAGAAGAGATAGGAGGGATTCTAAATGATTACCGTGTGTCAGTATTCATGAAAGAGAAGAAATTGGTGGAGGATGATCGCAGGGAAGGGAGTATTAAATTTCTAAGCCATGTTGCTATTAAAAAAGGAAGAGGTGTTGCGCATCTTAAAAAGTATTAAAGGTAGATAAGTCCCTGAATCCTGATTGGATCCATCCCAGAATATTGAGGGAGGCAAGAAAATAAATTGCTGTAGCATTGACAGACATCTTTGTATCCTCTTTGGCTACAGGGGAGATCCCATGGAATGGAGAATAGCCAACGTTGCCCCACTGTTTAAGAAGGGTAACAGGGATAATCCAGGAAATTACAGGCCTGTGAGCCTCACGTTGTGGTAGGCATGTTATTGGAAAAGATTCTCAGGGACAAGATCTATATGCATTTCGAATCAAATGGCTGTATTAGCGACAGACAGCATAGTTGTGTGGGGGAAGAGGTCATGCCTCACTAATTTGATCAAGTTTTTTGAGGAGATGACAAAGATAACTGATGAGGGAAAAGCAATTGATGTTGTCTGCATGGACTTCAGTAAAGCCTTTGATAAGCTCCCTCATGACAGACTGGTACAAAAGGTGAAGTCACATGGTATCAAGGGTGACCTGGCAAGATGGATACAGAACTGGCTTAGTCATAGAAGACAGAGGTGTTATAAAGGGGAAGGTCAATCAAAACCCTCTAATAATTAACCTGAAACACAAGCCCCAATCTATTATGACAGGAGTAGAGGTTCACTTGTAATAATTACCCCCGAAACACCTAGAGAAGCTCGCCTTTCCCCTCGCAATTGTTAAAAGTGTGGTTAAAAGAAAGAAAATCCCTGATCCACTCTATAAATAACAAGTTACAATTTATTTATTTATCTTAATGAACAAATTAACAGAATTACTAACAAACCAAACAATTAACCCCACTCAGAGTACCAACTATTCCCTAACTGAACTAAGTTCTACTGGAATGCTGTTCAAATAAACTGGCCTGGGGGTTTCTTTTACTCTGGATGGTCGCAGAAAACAGTAGAATTGGTCATTTTAATAACTGAATAACTAGTCCCACTTAGAGTCAGAGTAATACAGCATGGAAACAGGCCCTTCAGCCCAAACTGTGGGCTGTGGACAGTGACTAGTGGAGTAATGAGGACTTGATTCCCAGTGCATGTCTCCCCTCAGTGTCAGAGAGGACGCATCTGAAAATGATTCCATCGAAGAGTAAAAGGACATTTCCTACTCTCCAATAATGTCAATGATATGAAACACAAACCAGCCAAATGAAATAACTGCACAAATCAATTGCTGACAGCAGCCTGACAAAGCCTTAGACTGAAGGCAGAAATTGCTGGAGAAACTCTGCAGATCTGGCAGCATCTGTGGGGAGAGAAACAGAGTTAATGTTTCGCATCCAGTGAGCGTTGTTTCCTTCTCTCCACAGATGCTGCCAGACCCAACAATATCTCTTTTGGTTTCAGATTTCCAGGATGTTCAGTTCATGGTTTAACGTTAGAGAAAGGTGAAGTCGCCAAACAACAGCAACAAGGAGAGCGAGAGCGAGAGAGAGCGAGAGCGAGAGAGCACGAGAGAGAGCGAAAAAAAAACAAGGGACCCATTTGTTTGTTTTTAGTTTTATTAAAAAGAAAAACAAGGATAAGGCAAGCATTTTCTTTTGAAGGCAGTAATTCCTGGCACCTAGAATGAATTCCTTAGCCTTGTAAGAAGCTGCTTGCAGGATGTGTTTGGATTTATTCTCTCCCATCCACATTTTAAAAAAAAAGCTTTTTGAAAAACAAAGATGTGTTTTACCAGACAGTAGGGCTCTCATTAGAGTGTGAAGGAGAGCGGGGGAGAGAGACAGCACGTGAGAGAACGCAAGCGAGAGCCACACACACACACAACCGGTGGTTTCAGCTGAGGGTGTCCATACTTCAGGCTAGGGTAGTGAGTAAGAAGGACAGTCCCTCTTAGTCAACAACAAAAACAGAAATTACTAGAAAAGGTCAACATCTGTTGATAGAAATCAGAGTGTTAACTATTCCGGTCAAGTGACCGTTCCTCATGGCTGGAGCAAGGGGCTCTGTACCTGCTGCTTTTCTCCTGAAAAATCGTGCCGGCTCAATGCAGCAAGCACCTCTCCGCTGTTAAATACTGACCTTTGAGTCTGTCATCAGCTGCTGATGGTAATCCTTACTTGGTGCTGGAGCTTGAGCGCGGATTTCAAAAAGTGTCCTTTTAACATTTTGGATGCTTCTCATTACCAGAGCAATGACACCAAATGTAAACAAGAGCAGCCGCGATTAATTTTACTTTACATCAGGTCCGCACAGTGCCAATTCGACACCCACACCACTTTTATATTTTGGGGGTTAAGAAATAAATAAAAAAAAAAAATCGCCGATGGGTGAAGCCAATTTAAAAATAAATTAAATTATTGTCAAGAACTCCGGACCTGATCGACAGCACTTGGGACTTGGAAAGGTCCAATAAACCCAATTAATTAAAACAACAATAAATTAAAATTTAATCTCTCCAAGTTCACACAGAACATGTCTTCTGGAAAGTTCGGTCTTTTCTGTTGATCATCTGTCAGCAAAGTCTTCTCTTTCTGCTGTTCTGTCTAATTTCTTCTGTGATGACTTTGAACTAAAAATACTGTGGTATGTTTGATGGGGCCTTTTAAGACAGCTTAATGATGTTGAGAGAGTCAGGTTTATGTCTCAGATGGCAGAGTCACTTTCGTTTCAGATGACAGTTGACTCTCTGCCGATTTTCCAAATGCCCTCTTTTTCTACCCTTGTTGACTTGTCCATTTCTTACACTAGGATTGGTCCCAGGCTGTCAACACCATCAGATTTAAATTCAATTAGCTTTCAGTATCTAGGGCCTGGTTTAAATTAATTGGCTAAATTCAAAAACCTGTTGTCCTAGTAAAAATGCTGCTTTGCCTAATATCAGTATAAACCTTCAATACATATGTTTCAATTCATGAAATCTCTGTGCAGCTGCTTGCAGACATTTTCTGTTTAAATCTCTAGGCTGGGAAAGCACTCTAAGGGACCATGCATTTTTCTCCCTTATTATTTTTACAAACACTTTCTAGCTTCCTGCCTTCCAATTCAGGAGTATTCTACGCAAGTTTGTAACAGAAGATAGCGATGGAAGAATGCTTTTCGGAATGGAGAATTGCAATTAGTGGTCAGTCACAGGGATCAGTGCTGAGACCTCTGCTTTTCGTGATCTACATAAATGATTTGGAGGAAAACATAGCTGGCCTAACAAGTAAGTTTGTGGACTATACAAAGGTTTGAGTTGCGGATAGTGAGGAAAATTGTCAGAGGATACAGAAGGATACAGATCAGTTGGAGGCTTGGACAGAAAAGTGGCAGATGGAGTTTAATCTGGACAAACGTGAAGTGATGCGTTTCGGAAGGTTAATTACAGGTGGAAATTATACAGTGAACGGCAGAACTCTGAGGAGTATTGATATGTGGAGGGATCTGGGTGTACAGGTCCATAGATCACTGAAGGCAGCAGCACAGGTACAGCTTGTTTTTATTGGAAGGTGCATTGAGTACAAGGACAGACAAGTCATGTTGCAGCTCTACAGTATTTGGATACAGAACTAGCTCCAAGGTAGACGACAGAGGGTGGTGGTGGAGGGTTGCTTTTCAGACTGGAGACCTGTAACCAGCAGTGTGCCACAAGGATGGTGCCGACTCCACTGCTTTTCATCATTTATATAAATGATATGGATGTGACCATAAGAGATATGGTTAGTAAGTTTGCAGATGACAGCAAAATTAGAGGTGTAGTGGGCAGCGAAGAAGGTTTCGTGATCAGATGGGCCAACAGGCCGAGGAGTGGCAGATGGAGTTTAATTTAGATAAATGAGAGGTGCTGTATTTTTGGAAAGGCAAATCAGGGCAGGATTTATACATTTAAATGACAGGGTCTTGGGGAGTGATGCTAAACAAAAGAGACCTTGGAGTGCATGTTCATAGTTCCTTGAAAGTGGAGTTGCAGGTAGATAGGATAGTGAAAAAGGTGTTTGACATGTGTCTCTTTACTGGTCAGTGCATTGAGTAAAGGAGTTGGGAGGTCATCTTGCGGCTATACAGGACATTAGCTAGGCCACTTTTGGAATACTGCGTGCAATTCTAGTTTCCCTGCTATAGGAAGAATGTTATGAACATTGAAAGGGTTCAGAAAAGACGTACAAGGATGTTGCCAGGGTTGGAGAGTTTGAGTAAAGGCTGAATAGGCTAGGGCTATTTTCCCTGGAACATTGGAGGCTGAGGGGTGACCTTATAGAGGTTTATAAAATATCATGAGGGGCACGGATAGGGTAAATAGCCAAGGCCTTTTCCTAAGTGTGGGAGAGTCCAAAGCTAGAGGGCATAGGTTTAAGGTGAAAGGGGAAAGATTTAAAAAGGATCTAAGGGGTAACTTTTTCACACAGAGGGTGGTGCACGTATGGAATGAGCTGCCAGAGGAAGTAGTGGCGGCTGGTACAATTACAACATTTAAAAGGCATCTGGATGAGTAAACAAATAGGAAGGGTTTAGAGGGACATGAGCAACATGCTGGCAAATGGGACTGGATTTATTTAGGATATTTGGTCGGCATGGACAAAGTGGACCGAGGGATTTGTTTCCATGTTGTACATTCCTATGACTCCACCACACTTGGAATATTGTGTACAGTTCTGGTCACCACATTACCAGAAGGACGTGGTTGCTTTGAAGAGAATACAGGAAAGGTTTACTAGGACGTTGCCTGGTATGGGGGATTTTAGCTACAAAGAAAGGTTGGATAGACTGGGTTTGTTTTCACTGGAACGCAGGAGGTTGAGTGAGCGGCCTGATAGTAGTTTATGAATGGCATAGATAGATTGGAAAATGTGAGGCCTTTTTCCCGGGGTTGAGGGGTCAATTACTAGGGGACACAGGTTCAAGGCACGGGGAAGTGGGGACGGAAAATTCAAGAGAGATTTTCCACACAAAAAGGGTGGCGAGTGCCTGGAATGCACTGCCAGAGGTGGTGATGGAAGCAGACACAATAGCAGCATTCAAGAAACACCTGGACGAATAAATGAATTGGAAGGGAATTGCAGGATATGGATCCGATAAGTGAGGACAGTTTTAGTATGGACAGGCAAAATGTGTTGACAGAGGCTTGGAGAACTGAAGGGCCTGTTCCTGTTCTGTGTTGTTCTTTGTGCATGTTAAGGTGGCAGAGGCAGAAACCCTTGTAACACTTGAGAAGCATTTAGATGTGCACTTGCGATGCCAAAGCATACAAGGCCAAAGGCCAAGTGCTGGAAAATGGGACTAGAATAGTTAGCTGGTTCTTTTGACTGGCACAGACATGATGAGCTGAAGGGCCTTTTTCTGTGCTGTCTGACTCATTGAAAATCCCTTGGGAAATGAACAAGATAATCATTTGATCAAATGTAAAGTTAAACAGTACTGGAAAATGGTATCATAACTTACATATTCAGGCAGTTCGACAACTGAAGTCTGCTTCGATGAGAATGTAACATTAAACGTGACAACTAGAGTCTCCTGCAAGCGTGCACTGTGAGGGAAACAGCATAGAAGGTTTCTACACTTTGCAACTGTACGAATAACCTATTTGAAATGAACCTTAAAAAAGAACTTGTAAAAGGTTCTATACAATACATCTTCAGGATACTCCAATACAATTTCCACACAACTGATTACCTCCAAAGTGCAGTCATTTTTGCAGGAAACACTGCAATATGGCCCCACAAACAGCAATGAGTTAAACTGAAGACAATTTGCGCCTGGATGTTGCTCAAAGGCTGCATTAAATTCTGCTATCGGTTAGATGTGTTAGGCAGCATGATGGCACAGTGGTTAGCACTGCTGCCACACAGTGCCAGGAACCCGGGTTCGATTCCACCCTCGGGCGACTGTCTGTGTGGAGTTTGCACATTCTCCCCGTGTTGTGCAGGTTTCCTCCGGGTGCTCCGGTTTCCTCCGACAGTCCAAAGATGTGCAGGCTAGGTGGATTGGCCATGCTAAATTGCCTGTAGTGTTCAGGGAATTGTAGATTAGGTGGGTTATAGGGAGATGGGTCTGGGTGGGATGTCTGAGGGTCAGCGTGGACTTGTTGGGCTAAAGGGCCTGTTTCCACACTGTAGGGATTCTATGATCTATGATCTTCTATGAAAATACAATCAGCCATGATTTAATTGCCTGCTGGAACAGGCTCAAGGTTCTAATGGCCAACTTGTGTTCCAATGTTATTCCTACCTCCTTATATATATTAAGCCTCTATTAGGGGGTCAAAATATTTGTTCCCCTTGAAAAAAGTCTGAAATATTTTCAAAGGGTATTTCTGGAGGTTTCCTTTTCTATTCTTACTAATAGACAATACAGTGATGTAGCAATGTTATAGAACATAGAGCACAGAACAATATAGCACAGGAGCGGGTCATTCGGCCCACGATGTTGTGCAGGATATGACAACAAATGAAACTAACCCTTTCTGCCTGCCCTTGGTCCATATCCCTCCATTCCTTGCAAATCCATGTGCTTATCTAAAAGTCCTTTAAATGCTCTTATCGTATCAGGTCCACCACCACCCCGGCAATGCATTCCACACTCCTACGACTCTTAAAAAAAATAAATCCTGCCCCTCGTGTCACCTTTGAACTTTCCCCATTACCTTAAATGCATGCTCCCTAGCTGTAGACATTTCAACTCTGGGGAAAAAAAAAAAAGACTCTGAACATCAACCCTATCTACGCATCTCAATTTCATAAACGTACATCAAGTCTCCGCTCAGCCTCCACTGCTCAAGAGAAAACAGCTTGAGTTTTTCTAGCCTCCCCTTATAACTCATACCCTCTAATCCAGGCAGCATCCTGGTAAACCTCTTCTACACCCTCTCCGAAGCCTCCACATCTTTCCTGTAATGTGGCGACCCAGAACTGAACACAATTCTCTAAGTGTGGCCTAACCAAAGTCTTATAAAGCTGCAACATGACACCCCGACTCTTGCACTCAATTCCCCGACCAACAAAGGCAAGTATTCCAACAGCTTTCTTTATCACTCTATCTACTTGCGTGGCCACTTTCAAGGAGGCATGCACTTGAACCTCAGATCGCTCTGTACATCTATGCTGTTCAGGGTCCTGCCATTAAGTGTATGCTTTTCCTTAACATTTGATCTCCCAAATTGCAGCATCTCACACTTACACGGATTAAACTCCATCTGCCATTTTTTCTGCTCATATCTGCAACTGATCTACATCCTGCTGTATCCTTTGACAACCTTCTAGACCATCCACAACTGCACTGATCTATCATCTGCATACTTACTAACTCACCCACCTATGTTTTCATCCAAGTCATTTACATATATCACAAACAGCAGGGGTCCCAGTACGGATCCCTGTGGAACACCCATAGTCACGGACCTCCGTCCTGAAAACACTCTTCAACTACTACCTTCTGTCTTCTATGGGAAAGCCAATTCTGAATCCATGCAGCCAAGTGGAGCCCATGCATCTTAATGGTCTGGATGAACCTACCATGAGATACCTTGTCGAAAGCCTTACTAAAATCACGTAAACAACATCCATTGCTCTATCCTCATCGATTACCTTTGTCACCTCCTCGCAAAATTCAATCAAGTTAGTCAGACATGATCTGCCCTGCACAAAGCCATACTGACTGTCCCTAATTAGGCCATGCTTTTCTAAATGTGCGTAAATCTGATCCCTAAGAATTCTCTGCAATAGTTTCCCAATCACTGATGTAAGACTCACCAATCTATTGTTTCCTCGATTATCCCTATTTCGCTTCTTGAACAGAGGAACAACATTAGCTACCTGCCAGTCCTCCAGGACCTCTCCAGTGGCTGGCGAGGATATATAAACATCTTGCTCAAGGCCCGAGCAATCTCCTCTCTTGCCTCGCTCAATAACCTGGGGTAGATACCATTGGGCCCTGGGGACTTATCTACCTTAATGCTCTCCAAGAGATCCAACACCTCTTCTTTCTTGATCTCAAAATGACCCAGCATATTAGCATGTTCTACACAAATCTCACTATCCTCTATATCCTTTTCTTGGGTCAATACCGATGCAAAGTACTCATTCAGGATCTCACCCACATCCTCTGTATCCAAGCACAAGTTCCTCCTTTATCCTTGAGTGGTCCTACCTCCTCCTCTTGTTTTTAATGTATCTATAGCATACCTTTGGATTCTCTTTAACCACAATTGCTAAGGTCATTTCATGGCCCCTTCTTGCTCTCCTAATTCCCTGTTTGAGTTCTTTCCCGTTTTCCTTACATTCCTCATGGGCCCTGTCTGATTTTACTTTCCTAAACCTTACATTGTTTATTTTTCCCTTTTGACTAAATTCATAATCTCCCCTGCTATCCAAGGGTCCCTTACCTTGCCATCTGTGTCCTTCCTCCTTACTGGAACATGCCAGTCTTGAACTCTTTCAAGTAGGTCTTTAAACAGTTCCCACATGTCAAATATGGACTTGCCTGATAACAGCTCCTCCCAATTAACACTCCCTAGCTCCTGCCTAATACTGACGTAATTTGCCCAGCCCCAATTTAGTACCATCCTGCAAAGTCTTGATTTATCCTTGTTCATAGCTATCTTAAAACTTAAGGAGTTGTGATCGCTGTTTCCAAAATGCTCTCCCATTGAAAGGTCAGTCATCTGGCTAGGCTCATTAGCCATTACAAGGTCCCTCTCTAATTGGGCTATCCACACACTGTTTTAAGAAACCCTTTTGAGTGCATTTAATAAATTCTGTCCCATCTAAGCCCCTTGCTCTAAGGAAGCCCCAGTCAATATTGGGGATGTTAAAGTCACCAACTATGACAACTCTGTTGTTATTGCATCTTTCCATAATCTGTCTCAATGACTGTAGTGGGGCCTATGGTATAATCCTGTCAGACTGACTGCACACATCTTATTTTTGAGCTCCACACACATTGCCTCAGTGGATGAGCCCTCCAGCATGTCCTCTCTGACTGCAGATGTAACAATCACCCTGATTAGTAATGCAACTCCTCCATCTCTTTTACCTTCCTTCCTAGCTCTATCATGTCTAAAACCATGAAACCCTGGAACATTGAGCAGCCAGCCCTGTCCCTTTCTCAACCAAGTCACTGTAATGGCCACAGCAGCATAGTCCCATGTACTGATTCAGGCTCTAAGCTCATCTGTCTTACCTGCAATACTCCTTGCATTGAAATAAACACACTTCAGCCCATTAATACCATTGTGTTCATTTACCTGTCTGCCTGTCCTTTCTTTCTGATTTATTGGTCTTAACATCTACCTTCCCTTCAATCCCTCTACTTGCTGATCTGGTTCCCAGCACTCTGCCACTCTAGTTTAAACCCCTTCGAGTAGCACAAGTGAACCTCCCCTGTGATGTTGCCTTCTACATCTGTATATCTTTTAGAATTTTCTTTAGATAAAGATGATTTTACAAATATTATATACTTATATGAAATCACTTAACTTGGAAAATAAATTAGGTGCTCTTGTCAATCTATTATAAATAAATCTCCTATACCATTTTATGATGTACTATTAATATTGACTTTCCAGGAATTAATGCTTCTCTAACTGGGAAAAAATACAGCTTCATGAAAACCTTGGTCAAAATCAAATTCTGGATGTGGACTATCATTCAAGTAACCAGATTACCCACCATTTTATATTCTGTATTCTAACCTTAAAGCCTCAGTATTTCCCAATTGCTTCCCCTTTCCAGAAGGTTCTTGTGTATAATATAGCTTTCTGCCTTCCCCTGCTAGCACATCAATTATAAACTTTGTCGGTCATGAATAAAGTTACACCACCACTCAGGCCCTGTTCCTGAAGACTGCCTTAAGTTGATACTTGGCCTTTTTCCTCTCCAGATTGATAAACACCCAGGGCAACTGTAGGCAAGGTTTACCAGTAGCCCTGCTGCACGTTCCTCCTAATACAACATAACCTTAGCCACCTAATCACAAATCCATTGTGCTTTACTCAGCCAAATATCAGCTGAAACAGAACTAACCTTGGAACAACACTGATGTTTTGAAGTTCACCAATTTGCAAGTCAACATGTGCAGGTGTCTTTAGTGTCACAGAGGTTTCTGAAATCAGACAGAAAAGCATTGAGTGAACTTCTACTTAATGCAGTAAGGATCAGGATGCAGATAATCAGAAACATATTCCTGTTGCACAAATGTAAAAGGAATAGAGGCAAATAGGCACAAGCATCTGTTACAAGTGATTGCAGTTGAGCAATTTCAGATCTATGTTGAGGAACTGGAGTCTGAGCTGCAGACATTGCCCTGCTTCAGGGAAGGGAAAGTTACCCGAATGTTTTGCTCCAGGTGGTGGTCAAACCCCTCAAACTAAGTAATTCAAACCTGGTCTGTGACCAGGGATAGGATGGGGGAAACTACAAGTGGGCAGATAGTGGGATCCAGGAGGCAGTGTCTGAGAAACTTCAGCCACTGCAACTGTCCAACAGTTACAAGGTTCTTGCAAGTCGTGTGGACAATACTGGGGATTAAAGAGAGGATGAGCAAACTAACCACTGCATTGTGGTCAAGTTGGGGAGGACAAAGGAACATACCAGTGATAGGAGACAGTATAATTAGGAGGATAGATATTGTTCCCTTAAGCCATGTGCTCGAGTCCTGAAGACTGTATATTAGCTGCTGGTCCCAAAGTTAAGGACAACTACTCAGGACTGGACCGGAACTTGGAGTGGGAAGGGAGGGCTCCATCTTCATCCATGCTATACAAAAATCATTCAGAAGTCTGGAAAGAATTTCTGAAAATTTTTGAGGAAAATTTTTGAGGCTGGGAGGTAAATTAGAAAGCAAAACCTCCAAGTTAATAATCCTGGGATTACTACAGGAGCCGCAGGCAAAGTGACATTGGATAAATAAAGTCAGAGTTAAATGCATGGCTCAAAAGATTATTATGGGGTACTGGCACTGGTACTGGGATACAAGGGAGCTGTTCCGGTGGACTGGGCTTCACTTGAATCATGCTGGGACTGGTGTTCAGGTGAAGTGATTAAACTAATTAGGTGGGGGTTGGGGAAGGGGTTTACATAGGCTTAAAAAAAACAGAAGGATATGGTAGTTATTGCAGGACAACTATTTGGATAACAATATCCAGAATGAGGGCAGAAGGGACAGTGTGTAAATATAGAAAAACAGCAGCACATAGGATCAAGGAGGAAAAAAAATTAAAAAAGGCAAAATTGATGACTCTATATTTAAATATACTTAGTATTTATAAAACATAAATTAATTAATAGCACAAAGACGTTAAGTTGCATGATCTTATAGCCATTACAAAGACATGGTTATAAAGAGATCAAAGCCAGGAACTAAATATTCAATGTCATGAGAAGGGAAAGGTGGAGGGGTAACTTTTTGGTACAAGGGGGAAGAAGCTTGATAGCAAGGAATGATTTTGGATCAGAAGATGCAGAATCCATACAGCTGCAGGTAAGAAATAACAAGATGATAATAACACTGCTGAGTGCAATCACCAGAGCGTGAGCCAGAGTGATGATGGTGCATCAAGAGTGGGGTGGTGAGCCGGCTGGCGAGGCAGCAGCAGTGAGATCGTGCCAGTGAGGCAGCCCAGAGTGGGATGCTGGCGGAGGCATGGCAAGGGCTAGAAATCTCCAAGTGGGATTGCGGCAGTGGAAAGGAAAGTTGGATTCTTTTAAGTTAGAATAAGACAAGAAAAAAAACTAAGTTAATGTGAATGGCACCATGTATGTACGGCAAAGGTACACACTTTTCACTATATTTTCACATTGAATACACGCGACAATAAGTAAATGATGACTCAATTTATAGGCCTCCTAACAATAGCTACACTGTATGACAGAATAAATCAAGAGATTTTGAAGGCATATTAAAAAAAGCAATGTATCAATCATAGGTGACTTTAATTTTCAAAAAAAAAATGGAAAAATCAAATTGACACAGGTAGCCTTAAGAAAGGATTCAAAGTGTATCTGGGGCAGTTTCCTACAATAGTGTGTTGTGGATCCAATCAGGGATCAGACTATTTTGGATCCAGTGATACGTAAAGAGGCAGGTATAATAATTAATCAGTGTAAAAGATCCCGTAGGAAACAGTGACCACAACTTGATAGAATTTAGCATTCAGTTGGAGTGTTGGAACCCGGAATTGCACAAAGCAGAACAGGAGCATTTATATGGAGTTTTTAAAAGGAATCGATACCCAAAAAGCACAGTCTGCCATTACCTCCGTGACAGACCACAACAAGAAGACACAACACAGCCAAACACACTAGTCACCCTACTGTACATCAGAGATATATCAGAGATGACCAGAAGACTACTCAGACCCCTAGGTATCAGGGTAGCCCACAAACCAACAACCACCCTGCGACAGCTACTGAAGAACGTAAAGGATCCCATACTCACAACAATAAAACTAATGTAATATACAAAATTCCATGCAAGGACTGTGAGAAACATTACATAGGCCATGAACACCAACTAGCCACCAAGAGACACGACCGATTCTCACTGGTCTCAAACAAAGGAGGATGCGAATTCGACTGGGACAACACATCCCTAATAGCACGAGTCGAACAGAGACATGCCAGGGAATTCCTGGAGGCTTGGCATTTCAACCAGAACTCCGTCAACAAGCACATTGAACTGGGCCCGATTACAAACCAGTGAAAAACAGAACTGGAAGTAATGCCAGCCACCTGGTAAGGTGAGGCATATAAATAACAAGCGGGACAGAACACTAACGCCTCACTGGAGGCACACGGGGTGATGAAATGTCTGCAATCAAACATACCAGCTCAGTGAACAAGTCTACACCCTCATCTACAACCCATGCTATAAGTTTTCTCAAAAACTTGTGAACTCTCTCTGGACCATCTCCAAAGCCAGTGTATTGTTCCTTCAAAAAAAGGAAACCAAAATTGTGCTTAAATTTTACAATTTATTATTAAGACTCTAGCTACAGGTAAACAATTATGAACTGTCTCATTTTAGTCCATTACTTTAAAAAGCACAAAAATAAAAACACATGGTCTTTATCTTATTGACTGGCAAAGCACACAACAGGCTGAATGGCCTAATTCTGTGGGTAAGAATATTACTTGGAAGATGGAATGTCACGTGGAACAACCTGAATTTATTCACTGTATAGAAATAGCAGAAATGCAAAGTATTCTTGGGAAAAATGTCTGTGAAGACTGTGTGGAGTTTGCACATTCTTCCCATGTCTGCATGGGTTTCCTCCAGGTGCACTGGTTTTCTCCCACAGTCCAAAGTTGTGCAGGTTAAGTCGATTGGCCATGCTAAATTGCCCGTAGTGTCCACAGATGTGCAGGCTAGGTCGATTAGTTGTAGGAAAAGCAGGGTTACAGGGATCGGGTATGCGGGTCGGATGCTCTTTGGAGGGTTGGTGTGACCTTAATGGGCCAAATGGCCTGCTTCGACACTAAGGATTCTGAGAAAATTAGAGGTCCTCTTTCATGAATCATTGAATGCTAGCATAGAGTTGCAGTAAGCTTAGAAATATGTAAAGACCATGTCTTCTTAGTTTTTAAAATTGTGATATGAAATGAGCAACAACTGTTTTTAAAACCAGTGTTTTGCAAGGATTTCTGTATGATTTGAAAAGTAAGTAACTTGACACTCATAGCAAGCATTGTTTAACCAACTGCTTGAACAAGCATTAATTGAAGTTTTACATTGCACTCAAACTGGAGTTCTATATTCAGATAGAGCTTTAGTTGGGAACAAGTTGATTGGTCACTAGTCCATAGACTAGTCATTGATAACGAAGCTGTTTGCTTTCCAAAAGTCGTGAGATCTGGTCATCAGGGCTGGAAACAAGATATGGAGAGAAACTAACAAGTCTCCCAACAGGAGCTGTCTCTCCATTCCGTGCAGTAATCACTTTAAATCTGAAGAAAACCAGTATCTTTCCTTCAGCAGCCTCTGTAAACTGTGAACTTTAAATGAGAAGTCAGAGACCTCCCAAACACACCTCTTGCAAACCAATGGAAGTATTCAGAAAAGGAAAGCCAAGAAGAAACCTCTAATCAGCAAGAACCAACTTAACAGATCTTGTGAACAAAGATTATTGCACTGCTTTTCTAGTTTTCCCTCTGTCCATGTACTTTTTTAACCGATGTCTGTGTGCAAGAAGTTTTAATTTGTGGAGTTACTTGCTGACAGTTTGTACAGTTTGCCAGTAGCTAGAGTCTAATTACTTGTAATAAACAATAATTCTTATTAATTACAGAAACCTAGTCTGTGTTTCTTACCAATTTGGGTCTAGAAGACACGTAAGTTGGGAAAAATTGCAATCTATTTAAAATATTTAACTTTTGCTTGATTTCCAGTGAGCTACCCCAGTGAGTTGTGAATAATGCCGTGTTGGCCTCCGTTATGAGGGATTTGAATACAGGAATAAAGATTTCCTGCTACAATTACATAGAACCTTGGTGAAACCACACCTGGAGTTTGGTAAGGAGATCAAAAGGAAGAATACACCTGGCATTGCAATGTTTCACAAATTCATTTCTGGGATGGCAGAATTGTTCCACAAGGTGAGATTGAGGAAACTGGATTTGTATTCTCTAGAATTTAAAACAATGATGAGGGGTGTAGTAGATGTGGAAGCATACTTCTCTTGGCTTTGGAGTTGGAGGCAGCGGGAAAGGACACAAATCAGGTAACAGATTCTCAAAATAAGACGTGCACCATTCAGGTGCAAGATAGAGAAGGAATTTCTTCAAAATAGTGAATTGTTGGAATTCTGTACTCCAGATTACGTAGGTTCAGTCCCTCAGTATGTTCAATAATGAGATTGATAGACGTCTTGATATAAGACATCAAGGGATGTGAGATAACGCAAGGAAAATTGGCATCGAGGTGATGATCCGCCTCAACCTACGAGCATGGCAGAACAGGTTCAATGGGCTGCGTAGCTGATTTCTGCTATTTCCTATCATCTCATGTTCCATGTTCCTACCCACTTCCCATATTTTTGGTTGAGAGTCCAGAACTCTGTTTCAAGCTTGAATCTTTCAATGATGATACTTCACAACCCTCTGGAGTAGGGAATTCCAATGATTCACAACCCTTTGATTGAAAGCAATTCTCATCTTAAATCATAATTTAAGCAGTCCCTTATCGCTCAGCTGGCTCCCCTTGTTCTAGCAGAAATAATGTCTCAGTATGTATACTGTCACGACTTTACATAATATAGTACCTTTCAATGAGATCACATCTTATTCTTCCAGACACCAGTGAAAATAGATTCAAATTATTCAGCCTCTCATCATAAGACGGCCCTGAAATTCAAAGGAACCAATCTACAGGGCCTCATTTTGCAACTTCCAATGCAAATATATTTTTCCTTAAATATAGATACCAAAATTACACACACTATTCCAGCTGCAGCCTCACCAAAGCTTCTTTACTCCTCTATTCCAGTGATTTTTTAGGGCTTTTCTGGAAATTCCTTGAGGCATATTTTTCATTCTCTTATTAGGTGATGCAGTCATATAGAACATAGAACACAGAACATTACAGCGCAGTACAGGCCCTTCGGCCCTCGATGTTGCGCCGAACTGTGAAACCAATCTGAAGCCCATCTAACCTAAACTATTCCATTATCATCCATATGTTTATCCAATGACCATTTAAATGCCCTTAAAATTGGCGAGTCTACTACTTTTGCAGGCAGGGCATTCCACGCCCTTACTACTCTCTGAGTAAAGAACCTACCTCTGACATATGTCCTATATCTATTACCCCTCAATTTAAAGCTATGTCCCCTCGTGCTAGTCATCACCATCCGAGGAAAAAGGCTCCCACTGTCCACCCTATCTAATCCTCTGATCATCCTGTATGTCTCTATTAAGTCACCTCTTAACCTTCTTCTCTCTAACGAAAACAGCCTCAAGTCCCTCAGCCTTTCCTCATAAGACCTTCCCTCCATACCAGGCAACATCCTGGTAACTCTCCTCTGCACCCTTTCCAATGCTTCCACATCCTTCCTATAATGCAGTGACCAGAACTGTACGCAATACTCCAAGTGCAGCCGCACCAGAGTTTTGTACAGCTGCGACATGACCTCATGGCTCTGAAACTCAATCCCTCTACCAATAAAACCTAACACACCGTATGCCTTCTTAACAACCCTATCAACCTGGGTGGCAACTTTCAGTGATCTATGCACATGGACACCGAGATCTCTCTGCTCATCCACACTACCAAGAATCTTACCATTAGCCCAGTACTCTGTATTCCTGTTACTCCTTCCAAAGTGAATCACCTCACACTTTTCCGCATTAAACTCCATTTGCCACCTCTCAGCCTAGCTCTGCAGCTTATCTATGGCCCTCTGTAACCTGCAACATCCTTCCGCACTATCCACAACTCCACCGACTTTGGTGTCATCCACAAATTTACTAACCCATCCTTCTACACCCTCATCCAGGTCATTTATAAAAATGACAAACAACAGTGGCTCCAAAACAGATCCTTGAGGTACACCACTAGTAACTGAACTCCAGGATGAACATTTCCCATCAACCACCACCCTCTGTCTTCTTACAGCTAGCCAATTTCTGATCCAAACCGCTAAATCACCCTCAATCCCATGCCTCCGTATTTTCTGCAATAGCCTACCATGGGGAACCTTATCAAACGCTTTACTGAAATCCATATACACCACATCAACCGCTTTACCCTCATCCACCTGTTTAGTCACCTTCTCAAAGAACTCAATAAGGTTTGTGAGGCACGACCTACCCTTCACAAAACCGTGTTGACTATCCCTAATCAAATTATTCCTTTCTAGATGCTTATAAATCCTATCTCTTATAATCCTTTCCAACATTTTACCCACAACCAAAGTAAGGCTCACTGGTCTATAATTACCAGGGTTGTCTCTACTCCCCTCCTTGAACAAGGGGACAACATTTGCTAGTCTCCAGTCTTCTGGCACTATTCCTGAAGACAATGACGACATAAAGATCAAAGCCAAAGGCTCTGCAATCTCCTCTCTAGCTTCCCAGAGAATCCTAGGATAAATCCCATCAGGCCCAGGGGACTTATCTATTTTCACACCTTCCAGAATTGCTAACACCTCCTCCTTATGAACCTCAATCCCGTCTAGTCTAATAGCCTGTTTCTCAGTATTCTCCTCGACAACATTGTCTTTTTCCTGCGTGAATACTGATGAAAAATATTCATTTAGCACCTCTCCTATCTCTCCAGACTCCATGCACAACTTCCCACTACTGTCCTTGACTGGCCCTAATCTTACTCTAGTCATTCTTTTATTCCTGACATACCTATAGAAAGCTTTAGTGTTTTCCTTGATCCTACCTGCCAAAGACTTCTCATGTCCCCTCCTGGCTCTTCTTAGCTCTTTCTTTAAAATGACAAACAACAGTGGCCCCAAAACAGATCCTTGAGGTACTTGTAACTTGGCTAACTTGTAACTCTCAAGCGCCCTAACTGAGCCGTCACGCCTCATCTCTACATAAGCCTCCTTCTTCCTCTTGACAAGAGATTCAACTTCTTTAGTAAACCACGGTTCCCTCGCTCGACCACTTCCTCCCTGCCTGACAGGTACATACTTCTCAAGGACACGCAGTAGCTGTTCCTTGAACCAGCTCCACATTTCAATTGTGCCCAGCCCCTGCAGTTTCCTTCTCCATCCTATGCATCCTAAATCTTGCCTAATCGCCTTTCCGCCAGCTATAACTCTTGCCCTGCGGTATATACCGATCCCTTTCCATCGCTAAAGTAAACGTAACCGAATTGTGGTCACTATCACCAAAGTGCTCACCTACCTCCAAATCTAACACCTGGCCTGGTTCATTACCCAGTACCAAATCCAATGTGGACTCGCCTATCTACATACTGTGTCAGGAAACCCTCCTGCACACATTGGACAAAAACTGACCCATCTAAAGTACTTGAACTATAGCGTTGCCAGTCAATATTTGGAAAGTTCAAGTCCACCATAACAACTACCCTGTTACTTTCGCTCCTATCCAGAATCATCTTTGCAATCTTTTCCTCTACATCTCTGGAACTTTTCGGAGGCCTATAGAAAACTCCCAACAGGGTGACCTCTCCTTTCCGGTTTCTAACCTCAGCCCATACTACCTCAGTAGACGAGTCCTCGTCAAACGTCCTTTCTGCCACCATAATACTGTCCTTGACTAACAATGCCACACCTCCCCCTCTTTTACCACCTTCCCTGATCTTA